GTGTCTTGAGTAGTCTTTGTTATTATAGACTTATGTTGAGCTTATTCTTAGTATTTCTAGTTGCTAGTGAGTGGACTGTTAAAGGTAAATATTTATTTTGGTTAATTGATAACGTCATTGTCATTTGAATTGCTATTAGGATGTTTGGTTGCTGATTTGAGACAGGGAGATTTTTGAAATGGTCCAAAAACAGGGAAAACTCTGTCCGATTTTCTGTAAAATTACCGATGAGGCTTACTTGGGAACACTTGCTCCTAAGCGCCAGTCACGATCCTAAATTGGGTCGTGACATATCTAGTCACAATTAACTCGATAACATCAATTATTGCTAAAGGGATCAACTACAATGCATAAATTTAGATTTCCTAAACTATTCCCCAAAAAATTCAAAAATCGATCCCGGACTCGCTTGGTCAAAAGCGGAGGTTCGGACCAAAATGCATTTATCCATTCGGCCCCGAGCCCGGATATATAATTGGTTTTGGAATCCGACCTCAATTCGAGTTCTAAATCCCCATTTTCTCAAATCCGTAGTTTCTACCAAAAAAACCCCTAATTCTACCATGAACACTCTAGATTTTAGGTTGAAAATTCATGAAATGCAATGGGTAATTGAAAAAAAGTGATTTAGAATCACTTATCAACATTTTGGGGAAGAAATTAGCTTGGGAGAATCACCTCTAGGCCGTCTAGCTTTTGAAAATTTGAAAGAATGGCTTAAGTCCCGTTTTTTGATTCTATTTTTAATAACTGGGCAGGTCTACTTCACGTTCCCGAAGGGCCTGCCCCGTTCGCGAAGGGTAGCGGCCCAGAAGGCTTACGCGTTCGCGAAAGGTTGCACGTGTTCGCGATGGTCTATGCCCCCTGGCCATCGCGTTCGCGAGCCTTGGCTCGCGTAGAACAACCCACTGGTTCCCAACCCACTTCCAATAACTCTACGCATTTGCGTATTGATGTCGCGTTCGCGAAGAGCAGACCCCCCAGTGCTCCGCGTTCGCGACCATGGCCTCGCGTTCGCGTAGAATAAAACCATCCCCAGCCCAGCTCACACTTTGCATTCGCGAGAGTAGCTTCGAGCATTGAAGGAAATCAGAAAACACTGACTGCAGAAAAATTAGATTTTTCCCAAGTTCAAAACATCCCGAAGCCTATCTGAAACTCACCCGAGCCCTCGGGGCTCCAAACCAAACATGCACACAAGTCTTAAAATATCATACAAACTTGCTTGCACGATCAAATCACCAAAATAACACCTAGAACTACGAATTGAACACCAAATCGAATGGAATTTTCAAGAAAGCTTTAAAAGTTCTAACTTCACAACCGGACGTCGAATCACGTCAAACCAATTCTGTTTCTCACCAAATTTTAGAGATAAGTTATAAATATTATATTGGACCTGTATCGTGCTCCGAAACCAAAATACGGACCTGGTATCAACAAGGCCAAACATCAATCAATTCTTAAAAACCATTAGATTTAGACTTTCAATTTTTCAAAAAAAAATTTATATCTCGAGCTAGGAACCTCGGAATTCGATTCCGGGCATACACCTAGGTCCCATATTTCATTACGGACCCACCGAGTCCGTCAAAATACGGATCCGGGTCCGTTTGCTCAAAACGTTGACCGAAGTCAACAAAAAATCAACTTTTAAGGCAAAAATTCTTATTTTCATCAACTTTCAACATAAAAGCTTTCCGGAACACGCTCGGACTCTGTACGCAAATCGAGGTGGATAAAATGAGATTTTTAAGGCTTAAGAGTGCAGGATCGAGTTCTAAAACATAAGATGACCTTTTGGGTCATCACAATTGGGTTTGTCAATTTCGGTGGCTAGTCGCTAGAATTAATTTTGGACTATAAAATGAAAATTGTAATTTGTGGCTACCGTTTGTCATTAATTTTTTTCGGATGACTAGAAGTGATAATCACTCAAAAATTTCGTGTTGTTGTGCTTTCTTAAAGCACCTTCATATAGTAGTGTTGGCAGAGTACAAGCGAAGAAATTTAATTCCGTAATATTAGTTAGCATTTAAATTGATCTGTGATTATCCAAGAGTTAGGGATGAATCAATATGGGAAAAGACATTGCCACAACGATTTTCATACCTAAACTGTCTTTTCAACTCAATTTTTAAAATAAAGTAAAAAACGTATTTGCGACCATTTACGATAATGATTATCGTTTCTCTCATATATTTACTATAAAAAAGGGGAAACGACAGGAGTAACTATAAAAGTGAAACTACTTACCCTGCTCTACCCATAAAAGAATTCTACCCATTAAATAATTACAATCTCCTACTCATTTAATAAATAAACGGGAATATCAAAATAACTACCCCACGCTTAATGCCATACCTATAAAAACCCAAAAGCTGCTCAAAATTTCAGAAAATAAGCGCACAAAACTGACATTTCCACCGACATCCCCTAATTTGAAGATCGCTAAGTGTGAAAAAACAGATCGAAGATGCTGATTCGCATCTTGTTTTCGGATTTTGATTTCGCTGTTGTTTTCAGATTTTGATTTCGCTGTTGTTTTCGGATTTTGATTTCGCTGGCAGAGCAGAATGTCAAAAATTATAAGTATTACAGAAGTTTAGCGCTCAAACTTCTGAATTTTTAGCTGAAAATACTAATCTCGGTTTGGAGATCTGGAGATCTAGCGGTTTGATTTCGAAAAATCTGTTGTTGAAATTCAATATTTGACATCAACACTATTGAAATTTGCATTGTTCAGATTCAATTTTGGACGTAAAAGTGATAATAAATTCAGAATCATGGAAAATATACCAATTCTGCTGCAGCATAGTGGAGAATGGGATGATAACAATAATTTCATAAATTTTCATGTTGATGCAATTCTAATAAAGACCTATTGGAAATTTGAACAACTTCTCAGAGAAATTGCAAATCAACTGCAAAAGGACAGTAACACAATAGTTATTCAGTATGCCATTGCTCAAGGATATCCACCAATTACAATTTGCAGCGATATGAGTGTTAGTATTTACATGGAATTGAAAAAATCAAGTGCAGGGATGACAACACTTCCCCTGTGTGTGTCGTTTGCTAAAAATACTATAGCTGCAAGCACCTCCAATTTCGATGTTGCTCCAATTTCATCAGAAATTGCACAATTTGAAAGCACTGATATGATTAGTACGTTTGATGTGCAAGAAGGAGATGACACCATTTTAGAACTTGATGATGCAAACATCATAAATGATCAATTTCATCAAAATGTTGAAAAAGGACAAATTTACAAATACAAGAACTTGCTGGCTCTCGTTATGAAACAATATGCCGTTAGAGAAAAATGTCAATATCGGGTTAATAAGTCATGCCCAAGAAGGTTTGTCTGCATGTTTTCAAGTAAAAAACTATGTGATACCTATATAGTATATAAGTATTCTAAATCAGTATACTATGCGAGTATGGAATTGTATTGGTTTGTTTGTATTTTTTATCAGTGATACTGGTATAGTATATAAGTATGCTATATCAGTATACTATACGAGTATATAACTGTATTGGTTTGTCTTTGTTATTATCAGTAAAACGTAATACCAATATAGTATATATGTATGCTAAATCAGTATACTATGTGAGTATAGAATTGTGCTGCTTTGTCTATGTTTCTATCAGCCAAATATGATTCTAATACAGTATATAGGTATGCTATATGAGTATACTATGTGAGTATATAATTGTACGAATTTTTGTGTGTGTTTTTTATCAATAAAACATGATACATAATTGTATTTGTATTATAAACAGGTATATCCTTGAATGCGTGGATGAAAGATGCACTTGGAGACTTAAAGCATCAAGCCTGCAAGCATCAAATCTTTTCAAAGTGACGGATTTCAATTCTGTCCACAGTTGTTTAACTGATAAGAGATTTTGTTCACAAAAGCAAGCTGTCTCAGCTTTTGTTGTAGCTGTTGTACAAACTTGTTGACCCAAAAACCATATATACACCAACAGATATCCAGAGAGACATCCAAAAAGCATATGGTATGGACTTAAGCTACATGTAAGCATGGAGATCAAAAGAAAAAACAATGCAATTGTTGAGAGGAACACCAAGTGAGTCATACAAGAAAATGCCAACATATCTTTATATGTTAGAGTACGTTAACCCAGGATCAGTGACACGACTACACACTGAAGGAGATGGGAGATTCTTGTATGCATTCATAGCTATATATGCATCAATTAGAGGATGGGTCTAATGTAGGCCAACAGTTGTAGTTGATGCAAGTTTTTTAAAGTCAACATATAGAGGGACCATACTCAGGGCTTCCACGCAAGACGCAGAGTGTAAGAATACAATCCAATTACATTCAGTTAAAGAAACAAAAAAGATTTTCAAATATTATATGATACCAGTATGGTATACAAGTATACCAACAGAGTATATAATTATTTTGCTACATACCTACACCTACCTATGACTATACTACTATATGAAATACTAAATTAATATTGTGTGTACAATCCAATTACATTCAGCTAAATAAACAAAAATGATTTTCAAATATTATATGATACCAGTATGGTATACAAGTATACCAACAGAGTATATAGTTATTTTTCTACACAGCTGCACCTACCTATGACTATACTACTATATGAAATGCTAAATTAATATAGTATGTTGTAATTGATATTTTGTTCTTTGGGTTTACAGGACAAATTCTACCCCTCGCATATGCAATTGTTGATTCGAAAAATAATGCATCGTGGGAGTGGTTCTTCGTGCAGTTCAGAGAAACCTATGGACAAAGAGAGGGAATGTGCATTGTATCAGACAGCATGATGGTATATGGAAAGAAACTTCAATTGTCTATCCAGAAGTCCCTCATTGTGCATGTATGTTCCATCTGTGGAACAACATAAAGACAAACTTCAGGAAGAGCCAAAAATAAATCAAAGAAGTATATTTTGCATTAGCAAGAGCATACACTGTTGAAGAATTCAACAGGCATATGGCAAAGTTAGAAGCTATTGCTAGTAGAGTGAAAACATACCTGATGGATATTGGATATGATAAATGGTCCCGGGCGTATTCCAAGGCAAATAGAACCATGACCATGACATCGAATATTGCGGAATCAGTAAATGCAGCAAACAAGCACGCAAGAGACCTCCCAGTTGTGAATTTGTTTGACTTTATGAAAACATTGATTCAAAAATGGAATTATACCAATCGGAAGGATGCAGTGGAATCATTTATGAAGATTGGTGCAAAGTATGAAAAAATATTGGCAGATAATACTATCTTATCACAGACGATGACGGTATGCATTTTCAAAATCATAAAAATACTGCATGTATTGTAGTTTTACTTTTTTACCTTAGTGATTTCACTAAACAACTGAATATTGTTTTAAAAAAATACTATTACTTCATATAGCTAATGACTTTTCTTAATTAAAATTATACTAGGTGTTGCCATCAACTGAATTCTTACATTTAGTAATTGATGGCCAAACAAGAAATGTGGTGCGCCTACATGAAAAAAACTGCACTTGTGGGAGGTTTCAGCTAGACGATATTCCATGTCCACATGCAATGGCAGTTATACAAAAATTCCATATGGATTCATACAAGTATTGCTCAGATTACTACAGCATAGACTACTTGCTGAAAACATATGAGGTACCAGTAAATCCATTGCCTGATGAAACAACGTGGCAAATTCCAGAACATGTCTCTTCGCAGGTGGTACTGCCACCAAAAGGACAAATCAAACCAGGAAGACCTAAAAAGAAGAGAGGCATAGGAGGTTGGGAAGGAAATACAGTTACATGTGCACTATGCGGGAGAAAAGGACACAACCGGAGAACATGCCGAAATATTCCAAAGAGAGATTGATATAATGCTTCAATGTTTTTATAGAACTCATATATCGTAGAATCATAGCATTTGAATTGCAAAGAAATAAAATGCATTTCTTGCACTAGACATATATTTGGTATGATGATTCTTTGCGAAATTACTTTTTGGCAACAAATTTATATGGCTACTTGTGTTTTCAATAAGAATCTGTTTATTTTCTATTTTAGTATATAAAAGTGGGATGCATTTACATCTAGTTGCTGCAGGAAAAAAGATGCTAAAATATAAATGTGATACCCAAGTGGTATATCTGTATACCTTATTGGTATATCTGTTTATCTTATTGGTATCAAAATATGTTCAGAAATAGAAGTGGTGCCGCAAATGCATCATTTGTACATAAATCGTTAAAAAAATGGGCACGCTTTGCAGCTCATGTCTGTATTGAAGTATAACAAATTGGAAGCCATTTACATGCAGTTATTGTACATCATCAGGTACATAAATACAAGGTGATACCCAGATGGTATATTTGTATACCTCACTGGTATATAGTGATATTGCACTAATATGGCTTAAACAAAATATGCGCAAAAATACAAATGGTGCACCAAATACAACGTGATACCCAAAATGCGCACGCTTTGCAACTCATGTCAGTACTTACATCTAGTTGCTGCAGGAAAAAAAGGTACTCAAATACCCAAATGGTATATCAGTATACCTGATTGGTATATAGTTCTACTGCACTAATATACCTGAACCAAAATCTTTGCAGAATACAACTGGTGCAGCGATGAAAATTATGCACAGATTTTCTTAGATTCAACTACAACTAACAACTACTCTCAATATAATTTCAAAACCAGTTCACTTTCTAAAAATATTTCTTCTCATTCAAATCAATGCTCGCCCTGTTCTTCAACAAAATAACAACATAGTTCCTCTTTTTGAACACCTCCAAAAATAACTTCTGCTGGTGTATTACAGCGAACTAACAATGCTCCTCCTACTACAAATAGCAGTAGTAGTGGGAACTAACAGTGCTGCTGTAACAGCCATGTTCTACACTAATGGCTTGACTTCAAGTGCTGACAAAATTCTGTCTCCGAAAGGCACTCCTAATAAACCAACAACTTTATGGAAGAAGTCTAAGAAAAGCCTAATAAAACAAACTGAAGATACATTCCGACATTAAAACAGTTATAGCAACATATAGTACTATTACAATTGCATTGCTAGAAAACACTTTTAAAAGCTAGCATTTTTACAATCTAATAATGCAAAATACCATACTTCACCAAAAACTATTAAAATCCTGCAAAGTTTTCATGCTACGATTAACTAAAACCAAAAAAAGACCTATACTACTTCTTGCGTTTCTTTCCACGAGTATTTTTAGGTGCTACTGGAGCCTCAGATTCACCTGATTCGCCATGCAACTGCTTGTTCCTCCCATAGAGCCACAACAATATACCAAACCTAGCTCGAAGACCATCCACATCAAAATTGACAACAGAGATTGGAAGATCTTCAATAATATACTCAGCAAAGCATGCAACATATACTCTACAATCTCTGAAATAAAACAAATGAATAGAATATAAAAATCAATTAGAAGTGAAAATGTTAATATGAATGAAGAAAAAAAAGTAACTATTCTTACGAATTTTGTTGTGTTGGCAGATTTGTAATCAGTTCAATCTCAAAAGGATCAGTCAACTTCTTTCCCATGTGTAGACCATTTTGTACTACAATGTCACTTCTTTGGTTATAAAATTCAATACTAACTAGAAATAGGGGGATCAACACAGCATATGCCTCTGTCACATTTTGAATAGCTTTTTTGTGCTTTCGACTATGTAGCGAGTCATATACGTAAAAACATCTCTTGTGAAATGATACACACCCCAATATCCAATGCCAGTTTTCTGCCAAATTAATTGGAAAAAGGACATGATCAACCTGGTGCCATGGAGTGTTGCAATGCATCCTAAATCCTTTCATGTACTCCATGATATCGTCCGATCTATCAATCAAATGATCTTGTTTCCCACCTTTTACAAATTCTGTGAAAACCCTTTGAATGATATTATTAAAAAGAGTATCTGTAGTTGTGACTTTGATTGGCATATTAATTCCATATTTCGCCTTCTTCCTAAGATAGTAAAATATAATATTCAAGTGCTGCAAAAAAGAGAGGAAGAAAACATGACTAACACTAACAATATGAATGAACTACTACAACAACAAAAATAAAAAGCAGTACACATACCGAACTAGAGAGCGGCCTGCCAGAATAGTTTAAGGTATGGAAAAACGTCTTATCATCAATCTGTTCAACTTCAAAGTCAAAACAAGGCTCTAGCTTTTGATCACCAGGTAAATACACTTCCCTATTTTGTATAAAAGAAGATATGGATAAGAAATATAACAACAAAAATTAAGAAAACGTGAAAACAAAAGTACATGGAAAGGAATATGCACTCTCCCAATTGCATGTTTGCTTCGACAAAGTTTGAGAATGCAGTCGTAAGCTTATAATCAACAGCCAGTGAAATGTCATTTACAAATGGAAATCTTCCTTTGATAACTTTCGAGGATCCCCCAACTGCACTAACACCAGATTGCCAGTCATTCCTATACGGCGACTGTTTTACAGCTGCAGGGCACCTTCTCCCTGTGAAAACTGCAGGAGTAGTTTCAACATCTGTTTGTGTCTGGACAATACTTCTTGATACCGACTGATCAGGTTTAGACTTATTTACAGCACAAGTTGTCAGTTCATTTCCAGATTGATTTACATTACGTCTCCCTCCTTGTGTAATGGCAACAATTAGATCAAGTTGAGAATCAGTATATTCAAATCAGAATCCAAGTGAAGATCACCCCCGTGTCGACATGGAGCTTAAATTAGAAAATGCTAGTGAATAAACAAATATACAAAGTTAAGAAATTTAGAAAAAAAAATGAAAAGTTATATATAGAAGACATTACCAGAAGGCAAATTCACATTACTGCCACCAACATCCACTTGACCAACACCATCAACCCGAGATGCTAAACACATAAAAGGATTATCAGCATCACTGCTTAAATAAAAAAAACTATCAAGAACCTATCATTTACATACTAACTACAGAATTAGTAACATCAACATCGTACCCTGTGGAGCAGTATTAGACTCAACAACCACATCTGCTCGTGTCTGTGCAGGGATTCCTGATGGCAGCAGAGCAGGACCCAACTTTTTAACATCATGAGATGACTGCTTATATGTTGCTTGTTGTGTAATGGCGGTGATTTTATCAATTGCAGATGCAGATAGTTCAAAGTTAGAATCCAAGCAAAAATCATGCTCATTTACGAAGGGGGCTGAAAAAAGTTTTTAAAAAAAAAGGTGTGATGACCCAAAAGGTCATCACTTGCTTTAAATTAAAATCTGTGTTTTCGAGGCCTTGAAAACCTCTTTTAGCATCACCTCGACATGCGTGCACAGTCCGGGCGTGTAGCCGGAAAGCTTAAACATAAAAATCTGTGAAAAATGGTAAAATTTGGCTATAAAATGAGTTAATTTGACTTCGGTCAAAGGTTTGGGTAAACGGACCCGGACTCGTGATTTGACGGTCCCGGAGGTCCGTAGGAAAATATGGGACTTGGGCATATGCCCGAAATCGAATTCCGAGGTCCCGAGCCCGAGAAATGAATTTTTAAAGGAAATTGTTTTCTGGCGCCCGGTACAGGTCTTATATATGATTTAAGATGTTTCTGTGAAATTTGATGAAAAACGGATATCATTTGACGTGATTCAGACCTTAAATGCAAATTTGATGTTTAAAGAAGTTTTGAGAAATTTCATTGATCTTGAGGTTTAATTTGGTGTTCATGATGTTATTTTGGTGATTTGAGTACACGAATAAGTCCGTAGGATGTTTTTGAGGTTGTGTGTATATTTGGTTTGGAGCCCCGAGGGCTCGGGTGAGTTTTGGATAGGCCACGGGGTGAAGTTTTAAACTTAAGGAATTGCAGGCCTGCAGACTTCGCATTTCCCAAACTTTCTTCGCAATTCCCAGGTTCGCATTTCCCAAACATTTCTCGCAATTACCAGGCTTGTTCGCATTTCCCAAACTTTCTTCGCAATTCCCAGGTTCGCATTTCCCAAACATTTTTCGCAATTACCAGGCTTGTTCGCATTTCCCAAACATTTTTCGCATTTTCCAGGCTTGTTCGCATTTCCCAAACTTTTTTTGCAATTCCCGATTGGCATTTCCCAAACTTTTTTTCGCAATTCCCAAGCCAGCAGAGGTTGGTTCGCAATTGCGAACCCCTGTTCGCAATTCCCACATCTGAGACCTGCAATTTTATACTTAAACGATTTTGAACCCCATTTTTCATATTTTCTCAAACCCAAACACACTTAGGCGATTTTCCAAGAACAAGTCTTCTACCAAATCAATTGTAAGTTAGTTTTTACTCATTTCTTTCAATCATTAACATCTTTTAACATAATTTCAACCTAAAATCAAAGATTTTCATGGGGAAAATTGGGTGTTTTGGGTAGAACCTAGGTTTTTCAAAAATTGGGGATTGGGACCTCATTTTGATGTCCGATTTCAAAACAAATTATATATTTGAGTTCGTGGGGGAATGGGTAATCGGGTTTTGGTTCGAACCTCGGGTTTTGACCACGTGGGCCTGGGGGCAATTTTTGACTTTTTGGGTAAAACTTTG